ACAGGCTGAGGTTTGAAGGCAGGGATGTATGTACAGGCTGGGATTTGTAGACAGGGTAGATGTACAGGCAGGGGTGTATGTACAGGCTGAGGTTTGTAGGCATGGATGTATGTACAGGCTGAGGTTTGAAGGCAGGGATGTATGTACAGGCTGAGGTTTGTAGGCAGGATTGTATGTACAGGCTGAGGTTTGAAGGCAGGGATGTATGTACAGGCTGAGGTTTGTAGGCAGGGATGTACAGGCTGAGGTTTGAAGAGCAGGGATGCATGACAGGCTGAGGTTTGTAGGCAAGGGATGTATGTACAGGCTGAGGCCCAGGCAGGGATGTGCACAGGCTGAGGTTTGTAGGACAGGGATGTATATGTACAGGCAGGTATTTGGGCAGGGTATGTGCGACGTATGTACAGGCTGAGGTTTGTAGGCATGGATGTATGTACAGGCTGAGGTTTGTAGGCAGGGATGTATGTACAGGCTGAGGTTCGTAGGCAGGGATGTATATACAGGCTGGGATTTGTAGGCATGGATGTATGTACAGGCTGAGGTTTGTAGGAAGGGATGTATATACAGGCTGAGGTTTGTAGGAAGGGATGTATGTACAGGCTGAGGTTTGTAGGCAGGGATGTATGTACAGGCTGAGGTTGAAGGCATGGATGTATATACAGGCTGAGGTTTGAAGGCATGGATGTATATATAGGCTGAGGTTTGAAGGCAGGGATGTATATACAGGCTGAGGTTTGTAGGCATAGATGTATGTACAGGCTGGGGTTTGTAGGCAGGGATGTATATACAGGCTGAGGTTTGTAGGCAGGGATGTATGTACAGGCTGAGGTTTGAAGGCAGGGATGTATATACAGGCTGAGGTTTGTAGGCAGGGATGTATGCGGAACAGGCTGGGGTTTGTACCAGCAGGGATGTATGTACAGGCTGAGGTTTGTAGGCAGGGATGTATGTACAGGCTGCTGAGGTTTGTAGGCAGGGATGTATGTACAGGCTGAGGAGGTTTGTAGGAAGGGATGGGCCGTACATGCTGGGGTTTGTAGGCAGGGATGTATGTACAGGCTGAGGTTTGTAGGCAGGGATGTATGTACAGGCTGGGGTTTGTAGGCAGGGATGTATGTACAGGCTGAGGTTTGAAGGCAGGGATGTATGTACAGGCTGAGGTTTGTAGGCAGGGATGTATGTACAGGCTGGGGTTTGTAGGCAGGGATGTATGTACAGGCTGAAGTTTGTAGGCAGGGATGTATGTACAGGCTGAGGTTTGTAGGAAGGGATGTATGTACAGCGGTTGCTGAGTTTGTTTGATTTAAACATATCTTATTCAGTGCGGAAAGGGATTAGGAACAAGTTATCCAACCTAGGTAATCATCTCCCGAGTATTTACAACATGATAAATATACAAATACATACATGTAATATAGAAAGAAATATAGTACAGAAATGGTAGAGACCTATGTACAGAAATAGTTATTTACACATATAAAAATATTTACAGCATTCAAGAAAAACGCCTGCTATTTAATATGTAATGCTCGACTGCTTTAAATATTGCATGATTTTGAGTATTTGATAAATTCCGGCTGCCATTTGACAATAAATCTAAATTTAAAGCATCATCATGTACTTGTAATTTTAAAAGGTTAAACATTTTCGTTCTGTGTTCGTTATATAGGGAACACTCAAACATGAAGTGGCAAACATTTTCTCGTAAATTCCCACATTCACATTTGGAGTCTGACCTAATGCCAACATTAAATAAATCGTAATTCAATTCACTTACATGATATCTTAAACGAGTATGAATAATATTTTGTTTGCGGATACCTGTAGAAAAATATGATGTTGCCATGACAATAGGTTTCTTCAAATATGATTTAAACGTATCTACTGATGGTAACATTCGCTTTTCTAATGGGATATTATTCCATAATACTGTAGTTGATGGGATAAAAGATTGACTTGAGTGTTTAAGTCTATATGATGGTCTTACAACATTTTCAGAGTTTCTAAGGTCATAAGTTGTAGAGTCACGAACAGTCTGAGGAAGTAAATGTATCAGATAAGAAGATGCATTACCACATTTCATTTTATAAAATATAATGTTAACTTTCTTCTTTCCCTACGTACTGATAATTTTTCCAACCCAGTTTCAAAGTAGAGATATTTGAGTGGTGTATATTTTGGTAAACCAGTGACAATACGGGCTGCTTCCAGTTGTAGTTGTTCTAGTCTCAATGTCTGTTCAGAATTACACCCATCCCAAACCTCGCAGGCATATTCAAAATGTGGTCTGATAAACATAATATAAATCTTATTCAAAATTTGCCCATTTAGAAATAATTTTAATTTATGCATCGAGTTTATCATCTTAGAACTTGATATTACTATTTGGTCAATATGCTTATTCCATTTCCAATCTGCCGAAAACGTTAGACCTAAGTGTGTATGTTCACTTACATTACTAGTTTCACGTCCATCAAAGTACAAAGTTGTGTTATCACTTTGTTTTCTAAGGGTAAAAATGATAGCTTCTGTTTTATTTGGATTAATTTTAACCAGCCAAAGTTTGAGTTGGTTAGGCGGCTGACTTTGTGTGCTGGCGATTGGGTGCACGACTCTGAGGGTGTGGGTTCGAATCCCGGATGGAACTCAACCCAACAAAAGTACTAGAATCTGTACTGTGGGATGTGCTACATTTGACCACTTTTTTAAAATGGCATTGTGTATAAATGTACATGGTTATTGATACATCAGTGATGATTGTACAGGATAATATGTTTTATTACAAAATGTACCATCAGCTGGGATTTCACGTTTCATCTTGCTTCATTTCCACCAAGCATCCACAAACCTTTAGTAAATTGCCTTCTCCGCTGATGCAAACTCATTGAAATCCAAGAGAACGTCTACATTTCCGGAACATTTTGATAATTGCATCACATCCCTTCATCTATAGCATGTCTACTCCGTCGAATTCTGTTGGGATATTGAGCTAATTGTTCCTTCCGCGTTTACTGAACATCTCCGAGTGGATTTAGGGCTTACGTAATCTCCAGCAAGCTTGCCTGGCAATGTAGACCGACTGGAGAAGATCGGGGGACTTTGCCCATTTCTTGTTAATGTTGTTCATATAATCTGTCACTTGACAGTCTGGTCCACCTGGTAAACACTCGAATATTTACAAGAATCATATACCTGCAGCTGCGATATTCAAATACTTAAGTAAAACAAAACACAGCTGCATATCTTGGTGCAATGGTAAGTGTCGCATGAATCTTCTGAAAAGGGTGTAACATTGCGCTGTCGATGTTTGTTATAGTTACTCTGTGTTTCAACTGTGTCCCTTGTGTGAGTTCTTGATAAGTCTCGATGCCTGGTCAGAGACTATACGTAAGGCTGCAACGCTCACATCTTTTAACATTCCTCAGCTTCAGAATACACGAAAAGAATAAACTTAGGGCAGAAAAGAAATGAAGACTTAAAATAATCCGACTCCAAAGTCAAAAGCCACAAACACTTATGCTGCACCCGTCCTTTCGTACTATTGAGGATTGAGCGAAACAAGAAATTCAGGATATTGATACCGTCACTGAAAGAATAACGTCAAACAATAGATCGCACCACCCTCAATCACTTATGTTCATCAAGGGAGGACTGATTAATGTGGACGCTCTTCACGACATGATTCTAATGCCGACCTGTGGACGCACGTATTCATGTGACGACCATCTTGTGAAGTATGTCAGAGTGGTGGGGTAGCCTAGTGGTTAAAGCGTTGGCTCGTCACGCCGTAGACCCGGGTTCGATTCCCCACATGGGTACAATGTGTGAAGCTCATTTCTGGTGTCATCCTGTCATCCTGACAAGGTGCTGGAGACAGGTCATCTCCGTCATCCTGACAAGGTGCTGGAGACAGGTCATCTCCGTCATCCTGACAAGGTGCTGGAGACAGGTCATCTCCGTCATCCTGACAAGGTGCTGGAGACAGTCATCTCCGTCATCCTGACAAGGTGCTGGAGACAGGTCATCTCCGTCATCCTGACAAGGTGCTGGAGACAGGTCATCTCCGTCATCCTGACAAGGTGCTGGAGACAGGTCATCTCCGTCATCCTGACAAGGTGCTGGAGACAGTCATCTCCGTCATCCTGACAAGGTGCTGGAGACAGGTCATCTCCGTCATCCTGACAAGGTGCTGGATACAGGTCATCTCCGTCATCCTGACAAGGTGCTGGAGACAGGTCATCTCCGTCATCCTGACAAGGTGCTGGAGACAGGTCATCTCCGTCATCCTGACAAGGTGCTGGATACAGGTCATCTCCGTCATCCTGACAAGGTGCTGGAGACAGTCATCTCCGTCATCCTGACAAGGTGCTGGAGACAGGTCATCTCCGTCATCCTGACAAGGTGCTGGAGACAGTCATCTCCGTCATCCTGACAAGGTGCTGGAGACAGGTCATCTCCGTCATCCTGACAAGGTGCGGGTGTTGTTCAGTGATATTTAAATTGCTCGTGGAGGGACACGGGGCGCTTCTACCGCGATACACACTTGAATCAACGTGCTTCTGTTGCACACAAAACGACAGGTGGCAACCAAGGTAACAGTGTACTTGTCAGTCTGCCCCTCCGGAGTTTCAGCATCAGAACATCACTTTGTGTTGTTTGACCTTCATGTTCTTCTGACAATGAATGAAGCCTTCTAATGGTTCAACCTGAACATCAGAACATGATGTGGAAATTGGCAACAATGTCGTCTACGCCAGTCTAATATCTCATGAATATTTGTCGCAGACTGATGAATATAATTCTCTTGAGTGTATTCCATGTGACGAAATGTTCGCCTTCAAGTATAGCGTCCCTGTTTGCACAGTATTATATCCCTGAACGCTATTTATTTTGTATAGAGCAATAAATATGGAAATCATTTTTTTCCTTGTAATTGGGAATTTGTTTTTTAGAAATTGAAAGAAAAATATTGAAAATAATTGAAGTGCATTTTATTTCAGTTCGGTACACCCAAGGGAATGATGGCTGCAAACTTGACGCTTTTCATCGATGTTTCCAATCCAAATTCATGGACATTAGCGAACCAGAAAATGTACACAGTGCATGCCTGTAAGTAATAGGACTGGTTGGTTGGTTTAACGCCGCACTCTGCAATATTCCAGCTATATGGCGGCGGTCTGTAAATAATCGAGTCTAGACCAGACAATCAAGTGATGATCGATCTTCGCAACTGGGACACTCTGACATGTGTCAACCAAATCAGATAACCTGTCCACCCGAACCCGTTAGTCGCCTTTTACGACAAGCAATGGTTACTGAAGGCCAATTCTAGCCCGGTTCTTCATGGGTTAAGTAATAGGACATGTCCAGGATCCCGAGTGGGTGTCTGAGCAGAAACATCCCGAGGGGTTGTCCTTGACTGAAGGTGTTATCCCGTTCAGACGCTGTCAACATGTGCGTTGTGTCATCCTGTAGTCAGCATAGAAGGCTCTCCTCCCATCAACACCGGGTGTTATTTGTAAAGGATATCAATGTAATGATTTACTTTTAAATCGTTTTTCTATATTTATCAGTATGCCTTTTTGTTTGTCCTACATATACATTCAAGAAATTCGGGATCTATTTTTTAAATCGCTGATGTTCATATATACAAAATAATCAATGTTTACTTGAACACATGCAGCTTTGACGTTGTGGCGAACATATTAAAAATGAAGTTCACATAAATACATTGACGTCCCTATATACACAAAACACATTGGCGTTTGTATGTGCACAAAACGCCAAGATGTTTACATTTTTTTTAAAAAACCGCGTTTACGTTTATGTAAACATCCCGGGTTGACGTTTTCCCGTCTCTCCGAAGACCCATGTTCGATTACCCACATGGTTACAATGTGTGAAGCCCATTTCTGGAGCCTCCCGCCGTGATATTGCTGGAATATTGCTAAAAGCGGTGTAAAACTAAACTCACTCAGTCACATTGGCCTTGCACTTCTTCGACAGTTTTGATCTCGCTTTCCAATCATCAACTGAAGCATCGTATAATACCACAGAACGACAAAAATTCCCTCTGACATTTGGACTGCTGCACAAAATGGCGCACTCTTGATTTCTTTCTTTGATAAAACTCTCCATATATTGTCCTAAGCAACCTTATTAATTGCTAACAGTAATGTGTCTTTATTCAAAACTGCATGTACGTTTAGATTCGTTAGTCCTATATTTAGCTCCTTCGTCAATTAAACGTTTTAGGCACGATTCCAAGACGGGTAGGCATTGTGTACATCACGCACTACTGACCCTGTTTTGATGCGAATGTATAAAGCGGAAATTGGAGAAAGTGAATCTCTGCAACAGATATTTTGGTATTAATCATATGAAATCGAAGAACCGAGCATTTTGTATAAACTCGGCCAATCATCAATGCTGGACATATCACGCAGGTACCGACGGTAGTGGGGACAGATAAAAGCCTATGAAATGAAAAATGGCAAAATAATTGCGATTTTTTTAGTTTAGGACAAAGTTCATCATTAAAGACTGTACACAACAGTGTATTTTTTTAAATAAGAACTGTTTATTGACACATTCATAAATGAAACCCGCAGCATGAGTCTCATTCTCTGTGCCTATTATACGAAATGGGGGTCTAATGGAGCCAGTTAGCCTAGTGGTTAAAGCGTCTGCTCGTCACGCTGAACACTTGGGTTCGATTCCCCACATAGGTACAATGTGTGAATATTGCAAAACGCGACGCAAAACCTTACTCACTCACTACATTATACAAACGAAATTATGTCCTTTGATACTTTTGTTGCCTTAACTTCCCACGCAAAACCGGGCATCAACTCGCTCAATCAGAGCATGTTCTTGTTGGTTACCTTTCCTTCTTGTACGTTGATTTTGTTTATGAATATTTCAGTCATCAAAGGTCAAAGACGTCCCAATGCATGGAGAAGGTTAAAAGAGAATGTGAAGCTGAGCTGCGGCAGACCATCGACACGGCGGCGTGGAAGGACGCCGTGACCTTATACTGCGACAACACCCATCGTAAGTAGCACCTTGACAACTACCTTATACTGCGACAACACCCATCGTAAGTAGCACCTTGGCAACCACCTTATACTGCGACAACACCCATCGTAAGTAGCACCTTGACAACCATCTTATACTGCGACAACACCAATCGTAAGTAGCATCTTGACAACCATCTTATACTGCGACAACACCCATCGTAAGTAGCACCTTGACAACCATCTTATACTGCGACAACACCCATCGTAAGTAGCATCTTGACAACCATCTTATACTGCGACAACACCCATCGTAAGTAGCACCTTGACAACCATCTTATACTGCGACAACACCCATCGTTAGTAGCACCTTGACAACCATCTTATACTGCGACAACACCCATCGTAAGTAGCACCTTGGTAACCATCTTATACTGCGACAACACCCATCGTAAGTAGCAGCATCTTGACAACCACCTTATACTGCGACAACACCCATCGTAAGTAGCACCTTGACAACCACCTTATACTGCGACAACACCCATCGTAAGTAGCACCTTGACAACCACCTTATACTGCGACAACACCCATCGTAAGTAGCACCTTGACAACCACCTTATACTGCGACAACACCCATCGTAAGTAGCACCTTGACAACCACCTTATACTGCGACAACACCCATCGTAAGTAGCACCTAGACAACCACCTTATACTGCAACAACACCCATCGTAAGTAGCACCTTGACAACCACCTTATACTGCGACAACACCCATCGTAAGTAGCACCTTGACAACCATCTTATACTGCGACAACACCCATCGTAAGTAGCACCTTGGCAACCACCTTATACTGCGACAACACCCATCGTAAGTAGCACCTTGACAACCATCTTATACTGCGACAACACCCACCGTAAGTAGCACCTTGACAACTGCCTTATACTGCAACAACACCTATCGTAAGTAGCACTTTGAGAACCATCTTATACTGCGACAACGCCCATCATAAGTAGCACCTTGACAACTGCCTTATACTGCAACAACACCTATCGTTAGTAGCACCTTGACAACCGTCTTATACTGCGACAACACCCATCGTAAGTAGCACCTTGGCAACCACCTTATACTGCGACAACACCCGTCGTAAGTAGCACCTTGACAACCATCTTATACTGCGACAACACCCATCGTAAGAAGCACCTTGACAACCATCTTATACTGCGACAACACCAATCGTAAGTAGCACCTTGACAACCACCTTATACTGCGACAACACCCATCGTAAGTAGCACCTTGACAACCATCTTATACTGCGACAACACCCATCGTAAGTAGCATCTTGACAACCATCTCATACTGCGACAACACCCATCGTAAGTAGCATCTTGACAACCATCTCATACTGCGACAACACCAATCGTAAGTATCACCTTGACAACCATCTCATACTGCGACAACAGTCATCGTAAGTAGCACCTTGGCAACCATCTCATACTGCGACAACAGTCATCGTAAGTAGCACCTTGGCAACCACCTTATACTGCGACAACACCCATCGTAAGTAGCATCTTGACAACCACCTTATACTGCGACAACACCCATCGTAAGTAGCACCTTGACAACCATCTTATACTGCGACAACACCCATCGTAAGTAGCACCTTGGCAACCATCTTATACTGCGACAACACCCATCGTAAGTAGCATCTTGACAACCACCTTATACTGCGACAACACCCATCGTAAGTAGCACCTTGACAACCACCTTATACTGCGACAACACCCATCGTAAGTAGCACCTTGGCAACCACCTTATACTGCGACAACACCCATCGTAAGTAGCATCTTGACAACCACCTTATACTGCGACAACACCCATCGTAAGTAGCACCTTGACAACCACTTTATACTGCGACAACACCCGTCGTAAGTAGCACCTTGACAACCACCTTATACTGCGACAACAGCCATGGTAAATAGCACCTTGACAACCATCTTATACTGCGACAACACCCATCGTAAGTAGCACCTTGACAACCGCCTTATACTGCGACAACACCCATCGTAAGAAGCACCTTGACAACCATCTTACACTGCAACAACACCCATCGTAAGTAGCACCTTGACAACCACCTTATACTGCGACAACACCCATGGTAAGTAGCACCTTGACAACCATCTTATACTGCGACAACACCCATCGTAAGTAGCACCTTGACAACCATCTTATACTGCGACAACACTCATCGTACGTAGCACCTTGACAACCATCTTATACTGCGACAACACCCATGGTAAGTAGCACCTTGACAACCATCTTATACTGCGACAACACTCATCGTACGTAGCACCTTGACAACCATCTCATACTGCGACAACAGTCATCGTAAGTAGCACCTTGACAACCACCTTATACTGCGACAACACCCGTCGTAAGTAGCACCTTGACAACCATCTTATACTGCGACAACACCCATCGTAAGTAGCACCTTGACAACCATCTTATACTGCGACAACACCCATCGTAAGTAGCACCTTGACAACCATCTCATACTGCGACAACAGTCATCGTAAGTAGCACCTAGACAACCACCTTATACTGCGACAACACCCATCGTAAGTAGCACCTTGACAACCACCTTATACTGCGACAACACCCGTCGTAAGTAGCACCTTGACAACCACCTTATACTGCGACAACATCCATGGTAAGTAGCACCTTGACAACCATCTTATACTGCGACAACACCCATCGTAAGTAGCACCTTGACAACCACCTTATACTGCGACAACACCCGTCGTAAGTAGCACCTTGACAACCACCTTATACTGCGACAACATCCATGGTAAGTAGCACCTTGACAACCATCTTATACTGCGACAACTCTCATCATAAGTAGCACCTAGACAACCGTCAGTAGAAAGTGTATTGGCTGCAGCGAATTGAGAAGAATTTGAAGTAAATGTTTTAGAAGTGCCCCAGCTCATAAGCAACAAAGAATGGTAGTCCTTATTGCAACTTGTGGGGCAGGGCGAACGGCAGAGGTTCCAAGGGGAAGGCGGCGATGTGACGCTGACACTTGGGCAGTAGATAGCTGGATTGACTGGTCAGTTCGTCCCGTCAAGTCCCTGGTTTGCCATTCTTCTGGTTTGCCCGCACTCTTCTCTGTGTCTGCCGGCTCTCTCCTGTTTCCTGCCTGCTTTAAAAAGCAGACGAGTGACTAACAGTCTGTATCGGTCTGCTGTTCTCATGCAGTGGCGTAGCTACAACGTAGCACAAAAAGCACGCGCTTTGAAAACAAAATGTTGTGATTTAGGATACTAAAGAAAGGTTAGCATTTAATTTGTTTTAATGTTTTCTGGGTGGTTTCTGGTATAGTACCGTTGCACCCGAACGCAACTTGCCTCGCGGATCATTTGTTGACAAACATGTTTTGTCTACACTATGCAGCAAATTATGTCTGGAAACAGGCCGAAATCGTTTGTTCAGTAGGCGACATCGTTGATCTATTCTTTGGAATTGTTTAACCCCTTAAGTATTGTATCTTTTGTTATGTGCAGAAATGAGTACAAATCTGCAAAACGTTTTTCTACAGTTGTTTGTTACTTCGTTAAACAACCCGGATTGACTGAAACGCCCGTTTTACCTGACAATAGTACCCAGGGTTCCCAAACACATTCTGATACAATAGCATTATCTGAGTCATGTACTGATTCCTCGCCATTTGTTAAACCAGACACTCAGAAACCATGTACTGTTGAGACGGTAGAATTGACCCATATTAAGACTGATTCACGTTCATCGTAATTTCGTGGTAGACATGGACAAAGTCATTGACATATTCGCACAAGGTCAAACTAGAAGACTGGCTCTTCTCTTGGCCTAACATCTGTGAAGACCTAATGCTGCTCTGATAGTTTGTATAATCCTCTCAGTCGTCATCAGATCCACCTTTGAAGTTGAAGTGTTTCATTTACCGAGTTCTAGAGTTGTTTTAATACTTAACTATTTACAGTATTTACGTGGTCAGGATCCGCTAGTTTGGAGTTAATTTTTATGTTTTGCATGTTTTACCATGTTATTGATGTTTGTCTCAGCTGTATCTCGTGTTCAGAGGAATGTTTTACTCTTACATGTGGTATACTCTCCCTGATTTAGTACAAAATTTTCATCATTTGTACTTACACTCTGTATTTTCCTGGCTACGCGCCTGTCATGGACATAATCTGAGTAGGCCGGCAATTATCATGGACATATTCTGCCCAGCTGGCTATATTTTGACGGGCTTGACATATGTCCGTCCTACAAGTGTGCATAACAATAGCGTTACACCTGTTTACACCAGTCACAAAAATGAGTTGAGTGAGTGAGTTTAGTTTTTCTCCGCTTGTAGCAATAATCCAGCAATATCACGGCGGGGACACCAGACGTGGTCTTCATACATTGTACTCATATTGGGTACACACACACGCGCGCGCACACACAGTGCATTATTTATTATTACTCCTTATATTTCCTACCGCCGACTCTATAACAACTGTGCAGGTATACATTGTATATAACTGTTTTCATATTTGTTTAGTCTTTCCGATTAAAGAAACATGACGATTGTTTGTATGTTTAAATGTGGAAGTATGTTTTTGATGCAGTCTTCGCTGCCAACGTCAACTGCACTCAACGGGTAAAATATTTTATGAGGACGTGTTCCACATCGGGGTTGACGCACTTCACTGAGAAGATGGCACGGAGGAATATTACCATGACCGACCCCAAAACAGGGATGCAGCTGACATGCGAGTAAGTGTGCTTGGACTACCATCTACTAATTACATAAAATAAATAACCAATGATGTGTTTGTTTGTTTGTTGTTTTACGCAGTAATCAGCAACATTCCAGCCATGTGTCCACGGTCTGTTAATACTCTGGTCTGGTCCAGACAATCCAGTGATTGACATAAGGAACAAAGATTTACGCAAATGGAATCTGATAACATGCATCAACAAAATCAGGGAATCTGACCACCCGATTCCGTCTCCTTGATTCTGATTTTCAGTGATTCAGTGATCCATTTATACAAATTTCACTCGTTATTTAAACTGTTTACACACAATGGAATATTCCTCGGTGTGTAACCGAGGCTGGTTGTCCCTGTCGTTCCATGTTTATATTCATCACAAATGTGGTCCATTTGTTGTCCAACACTTGATTATCTGGTCTACAGGTCTTTATATGCCAGGAGTACTGCTGTGTGGCGTCAAGCAACAAACACTGGCATTGTCTTCCAAGTGTGTGAATGACGGTTGCTACCGGAAGTTCACGACATGCTTATCCTTCTCGGGAACACGTCATCACTAGGTTACAGTGACCCATTTCTATATACTGGTGTAGCCTAATGGTTCATGGGTTCTCTCATCGCGCCGAAAACTTGGGTTGGTTTCCCCGATTGGGTGCAATGTGTCAAGTCCATTTCTGGTGTTCCCATGATATTGCTGGAATATTGCTAAAACCGGCATAAATTTATATTCATATATAATTGCCACCACTGTTTTCCATTTGACACTGAAGGTATCTCTTCCTGTGCATAGTCGAGACTGGAGGTTTTAACTTCTGTGTCCCAAGGGCACCTGTCAGAATGACTAGTGCCTACAATGTAAATAGGAAGACACAGAAATTGAATATTATAAATGAACTTGTCATGATTGTAAATCGACCCGTGTCTAGCTCACAGATTAAGACATTCTAACGACGCCAGAGTTAAGTCAATCATCACCGGACAATCTGGCGATCCCTGAAGCACAATGGTCATTAGGGCCAATCTAATAGATAATACTCAGAGGTATTCATTAACCAGATCATGTAAATCTCACCCGGAATTCTGTATAGCACACCGACTGAATGTTAAAACCCCACCTAGAAGCCCTGCGACTAACGAACAAGTACAACTCTCAGGATGGATGAAATATTAACCTAACTCTGATTGCAAAGCCTTTACTGAGTCTGCGATGGGCATTAAAAGAAGTTAAAGAGCTGCAACATAACAAGTTAAACATTGTTTGCCAAAACGGCGACCGATCTGCTTCTGTAATCACAAGAAACACATTGTTTGATTTCAATCATATTAGTATGTGTTTATGACTCAAATAGTTCTTATGTCAGGAGCAAAAAGACAGGCGTATTATGTACATGCAGATGCAAGTACATTGCATGTCAAAGAACAAATACAGTCGACTACATAGTCGACGACAAGGGAATTGGATAAAAAATAATTGTCATTGATCACAACTGGGACTGAACAGTGGTTGAAATGTGTGGTGTTTGATATCTCCAAAATGTAGCCTCGAAAGTTCAATGTTATCCATAAACGATTCATATTTCACTTTTACCAGCTGATGTTTTGTTGTTCAGATATTCCAATAATACAATAGGTATCGAAACCAATGATATTTTTATAAAGAAATCTGCAAACAAATTATGTCAGATTAACTCACGATAAAACACGGAAAACACATTTGTTGAAAAAAATGTCACTTATTTACAGCATAATGTCAACATTATCCTCCAACGTTATAACTACTTGTTAGAGTCTTGGTTTGTCTTGGAAGAAAAGGTAAACAGAACACAGTCTGTAAGTTCATTGCTTGGAGAGGTTTCTTTGATGTCCTTTATTGTTAATAGGATAGGCTACAGGAAGGCGTTGGTGTTGCAGGAAGGAAACAGCTGGTGTTGCACTGTAATCGTCAGATGATATTGTTGTGTTTCTCTAATGACATGGCGTCGGCGGTTCAGTCCCTCGTCGGGTCATACCGAAAGACGTAAAATGATGTTTCTTTTTCACGGCCTCAGTAAAGTTTTTCAAAACGTTTTATAGTAGACATGTGGAGGACATTTCAAAATGTGATGTATCAGTGACAAACAGGATGATATTCTCTATTTTGACTTGTTCCACAAATTTCCCGAATTCTTTCAGGTAAACAGTTGACTAGCTTTTGCACAATGTTTTATGACGGGTGCTACCGGTGCAGGATACGCTCACCTTTTCGCGAACACCTGGTATCATTATTTGATGGCGATTCATAAACACATGCTCTGTCATCGTCTCTTATGTTGTCAATCACTGGATTGTCTGGTCCATACTGGTAGTTTACAGACCGCCTCGTACAGCTGTAATATTGCTGAAAGCGGCGTCAAAAAGATACATACAGACAGACAGAGTCAGAATTGCTTCTACCAGAGATTCTTAAGGATGTGAAAAGGGTAATGTTGTACACTGCCTGGTTTTAAGTTGATAATAAGGAACTGGTTTATCTCGACCTGTCTCAGTCCAGTATTCAGTTGCAACTGCGGATGATATCCTAACGAGCTGTCGCCATAAAACCCATGTGGGTGTGCGAGATATATAGCGAGAGACAAAGGAAGTAATACAGCTTTACCTTGTATTCAAATCAGTTTACAATTCATTTTGTAGAGTTAAAAAAAACTTGAGTGATTAAATGTTATGTTGACATTTGAAAACAAATATTCTGGAAAATCCTGTGTTTGGCTGTGACAAAATACAAATAAAATCCCGATGAGAACCAATCTTCAACAACCCATGCTTGTAAGAGACGACTAAAGGAATCGGGAGATCAGGCTCGCTGACATGGTTACGCTGACTCGCTGACTTGCTTGACACATGTCATCGTGTCCCATTTTGACACATGTCATCGTGTCCCATTTACGTAGATCGATGCTCATGGTGTTAATCACTGGATGGTCTGGTCCAGATTTGGTTATTTACAGACTGCCACCACATAGCTGAAATACTGCTGAGTGCGGCGTTAAACAACAAACAAATTCATGCGGAGTTCACCGACACTGTCTGATAAAGTTCTGAATCTGATAGAGAGAAACATATTGTTGTGTGTCCTGTTTCAGATACAAGGAGGACACACTAGATTGTGTGGACAGTAAGCTGTCCAGGAAGTGTCCAGAAAATGTCCGGAACGTCCTGGTCAAGGTCATCCGTCTGTTCAACAAGCCCGCCTGCTCTTTCGGACCGTACGTGGACACCACCATGCATCCCACCACGTCCACGTCGTCCCAGCGAGAAGACACCACTAATACTGGATCCAGAACCACAGCGGCATACATCATCTTGTCTTTAGTTCTAGTGCACTTGATGTCGTAGAGGATGGTAGTGAAAGAGACAATAATATTTTATGAAGGGTTTTATAAGTTGCAGTGTGCATTGTATCAATTTGTAATTAAAATATCGAATATCGAATTCATCACCTTTCATAACTTTAAATTTAAACTTCAGTAAAATTAAGTATTCGACGTTTATGAGTTGATAATGAATTTGGGCATTCTCAGAACAACACACATATTGGAACTAATGATATATGTCACATGTATGATGTATAGTGTGGTTACAATGTGAAGAGTGTGAAGTATTTTGTAAATATACAAATGGTGTCAAACAGATTCTGTTCTTCCTTTTTCTGTGTCGGATATCAGGCACTGAAGCTCTTGCACTAAATGTCACAGAACGCTGTCGCGTGTGACATAGTTCAGAACCACAGACGAATGGAAACTCTGTCACTTCATACAGAAACACTTCGAAACCTTGTAAATATATTCTTCATGAAATTAGCACATGCCGAGTTCCAGTACCCCTTGACGGTGGTGGTACTTCAGTAGAACAGTTGTTGTTAAGTTGTGCCAAAGTGGAGTAATTATCTATTTAATGTAGAGGTAATGTAGTAATCAAGTAATACTTAGGTTAAAGTAAAGTGGTTTTACACTCTTTACTTTGTGTGCAGTCGTAGTAAAGTGGTATTAATTGTATTAATGGTAGAACACTAGTTTTAATGTAAAGTACGGTCCGATTGAAGTAAAGTGGTTGTGTAATACTAACGTAAGAGTATATTGGTAGTGAAGTATTTGTTAAGTGGTTGTGTAATACTAACGTAAGAGTATATTAGTAGTGAAGTATTTGTTAAGTGGTTGTGTAATACTAACGTAAGAGTATATTAGTAGTGAAGTATTTGTAAAGTGGTTGTGTAATACTAACGTAAGAGTATATTAGTAGTGAAGTATTTGTAAAGTGGTTTTGTAATACTAACGTAAGAGTATATTAGTAGTGAAGTATTTGTTAAGTGGTTGTGTAATACTAACGTAAGAGTATATTAGTAGTGAAGTATTTGTAAAGTGGTTGTGTAATACTAACGTAAGAGTATATTAGTAGTGAAGTATTTGTAAAGTGGTTGTGTAATACTAACGTAAGAGTATATTAGTAGTGAAGTATTTGTAAAGTGGTTGTGAAATACTAATGCTAAGAGTATATTGGTAGTGAAGTATTTGTAAAGTGGTTGTGTAATACTAACGTAAGAGTATATAAGTAGTGAAGTATTTGTAAAGTGGTTGTGTAATACTAACGTAAGAGTATATTAGCAGTGAAGTATTTGTAAAGTGGTTTTGTAATACTAACACAAGAGTATATTAGTAGTGAAATATTTGTAAAGTGGTTGTGTAATACTAACGTAAGAGTATATTAGTAGTGAAGTATTTGTAAAGTGGTTGTGTAATACTAACATTAGAGTATATTAGTGAAGTATTTGTAAAGTGGTTGTGTAATACTAACGTAAGAGTATATTAGTAGTGAAGTATTTGTAAAGTGGTTTATAGGAAACCCCCTCGCAAGGCAGGAGTTTGTGGCTGGTGTCCCCGTTGGGACACCACGTGATTGTTCAGGTAGTGAACACCTGGTGTCCTCGGTGAGCTTCAGGGGTAAAGTCATGTACGTCTTCACTGCTGCTTCGGCCTTTCACGCCTTATGTAATCTGAGTGGATAATCGTGGCTGCTAATTCTCTGGCGTTGACGTCATATATTTACAAAACAAAATATAAGAAGGCAAGTGCTTTACTTTTAGGATGCTTAGTGTTTTAAGCACCGTCTTAGCTTCCAGTAAAGCTACAACGATATATTTTTTTCGGACACATCGAAGAATACTCAATCCAGTTTTGATCTACTGTAATCTTGGTCTTAATGAAATCAAAATTTTGTCTTTCAACGTCAATACCTTGGATCTCGGGGTGGAATGTTATAACTCATGTGTTTAACGAACTTAGGGTGAAACTGATCAGTTCGTTTTATTCGGCATTCGTATTATTATAATAATTCTCCATTAATTAGTATCTACCACAAGGAGATAAAGAATAGATTTCTCAACTTTCTTCGTTCAACTATGTCTTAGATGCTTGATTGACATTTTAGAAGATGATATTTGATGAACATGACTTGTTCTGTCATCTTCTTTTTAACACAAGATGATGTACCCAGAAAAATCTCTATGTACATATGACTTGTTCTGTCAAACACACTCGTCTTTGATGCCAAGAGATTCCTTGTTTTGTCAGTTTGGTTGTTGCTGTACTCAGTAATTATCCACATTCAAGGCCAGACAATCCAGTGATTAGCATCACAAGGATCTATCTATGCAATTGTAATACGATGTAAAGCATTATGAAGTCATTGAGCCTTACGACCCATCCAAAAGATCGCCTCTTCTGACTAGCATGGGTTGATGAACACCAATTCCAATCTGATTCCTTACCGACTCGGATACACGTACCAACCGTTCAAGAACAGGAAACCTATACACTACTGAACAAACAAAAAGTAGTACCATTGTTTTCTGTTACTTAGTTAACAATTTTAATTTGTAAAGTGTAACATACATTAATGATGAAACATAATTAAGAACATAATCTAATGTACATTTAGAGTCAAAATTATCACATGACTTAGAATCAAACATTAAACACATGATAGCATCGCATAATTGCTGCTCAAGGAACATTACAAGAAACAAAGTGACACACCTGATCATTCTTAGAAAAAATATAATAATTAAACAAAATAATATAACAAAAATGTACTGTATATTAATACGCTTTAAAATATTACTGACGCTTTAAAGTTTTAAATGACGGAATAATTCTCGAAATAGACGATGGCTTGCAGAAACCAAATCTTTCGCTGCAACAGGAAAGACTTGATAACGTACATATTCCTTAATGCAGAAATATCGTCTTTTCTTTCATCTCTGAGTGAATATGTGAATAGTATTTCAGTCATATTACTGCCTCTTAGCTTGAAGTTGGTCGAGAAGTCTGTACTGATTCAGGACGAACACGTTAATCGTAGTATGAAGCTGATAAACGTTGAAAAATAATTAATCCTCGTCAATCTGGGATTTGAAGGTCCCGGCACGTCCTAGGCAACTCTGTACAACTAATGACACGAATTAGAAGACAGGGCTGACCGTGCCCGATCATATTTTGTGACTCTTTGTTGATTTAATCCAAGTGTCAAATGCATGAACATCGACTGGCTGAAAACTACTGTCACACTCTTTCCAAACAGAACATTACATTCATCTGGTTCTGTACGGGGCAGATTCACTTCTTGTCTTGAGTACCTTGCAGTGAGAATGCCTAAATCAAAGAAGGGTTCAGTATATCGTATTAGTTGTGACTTGTAGTCCCTTCATAAGGACCCCCGATGTTAATCTGTGTAGAACCAGACCTACATCCGTCATACACAGATGCTTCATCCAGGCCTACATCCGCCATACACAGATGCTTCATCCAGACCTACATCCGTCATACACAGATGCTTCAACCAGGCCTACATCCGTCATACACAGATGCTTCATCCAGACCTACATCCGTCATACACAGATGCTTCATCCAGACCTACATCCGTCATACACAGATGCTTCATCCAGACCTACATCCGTCATACACAGATGCTTCATCCAGGCCTACATCCGCCATACACAGATGCTTCATCCAGGCCTACATCCGCCATACACAGATGCTTCAACCAGGCCTACATCTGTCATACACAGATGCTTCAACCAGGCCTACATCCGTCATACACAGATGCTTCATCCAGGCCTACATCTGTCATACACAGATGCTTCATCCAGGCCTACACCCGTCATACACAGATGCTTCATCCAGACCTACATCCGTCATACACAGATGCTTCATCCAGACCTACATCCGTCATACACAGATGCTTCATCCAGACCTACATCCGTCATACACAGATGCTTCATCCAGACCTACATCCGTCATACACAGATGCTTCATCCAGGTCTACATCCTTCATACCCAGATGCTTCATCCAGACCTACATCCGTCATACACAGATGCATCATCCAGGCCTACATCCGTAATACACAGATGCTTCATCCAGGCCTACATCCGTCATACACAGATGCTTCATCCAGACCTACATCCGTCATACACATATGCATCATCCAGGCCTACATCCGTAATACACAGATGCTTCATCCAGGCCTACATCCGTCATACACAGATGCTTCATCCAGGCCTACATCCGTCATACACAGATGCTTCATCCAGGCCTACATCCGTCATACACAGATGCTTCATCCAGGCCTACATCCGTCATACACAGATGCATCATCCAGGCCTACATCCGTAATACACAGATGCTTCATCCAGGCCTACATCCGTCATACACAGATGCTTCATCCAGACCTACATCCGTCATACACAGATGCTTCATCCAGACCTACATCCGTCATACACAGATGCATCATCCAGACCTACATCCGTCATACACAGATGCATCATCCAGGTCTACATCCTTCTTACAAAGACGCTTCATCCGTTCCAAAAAGTTCTTTGTTCTACGTCTCGTTGCACTCATTTTCTACCTGGAAGGATCCACGTGTAAACAGCTATGGTGTTTATGTAGATCTTCGAGGCCAAGAGTATATTGCAATGTTTTCTTTAATAAACAGGAACTTTGGAAGATACAAGCACTATAGAACCATAATATTTTCTAAATTGTAAATAACGCGACAAATCCCTTTCAACATCCATGAGAAGTGAAAAGTAGAGTGGCTTGTATCACTACATCCCTGGTATGTGTTTATACAACAATCCTAGAGAGGGTAATGGTGTTCCCGCAGAGATGAACGTGTCCTGCTCCACTGGTGCCAGCGGTGATGACCGAACACTTAATAACGACAATCTGATAACAGAGGTTACAGTACAAGAACCTCCACGGACAATGACAAATTGTATTGATTTTGGGCCCTTTCAGAAAACTTCGTCGAGCAATCGGTTATCCTCTTTAACGCTGGCTAGACACATCAATACAATGCCGTCTATCATATATTTGGTTGAGTCATTTACACTAGGAGCCATGAGCAGTCATACAGATCGCCCTGCCGAACAGTGATGGAACGAGAAAACGAACTGCGCGTACACTGTACATACCACGTCTTTGGTAGACTTTACACAGCCTCGTTTCTCTTAAGTTCATTGACTGTCTGGTCACTGAAAATCTACTCTGCTTCGTCACTGAATAGAACAAGTGACGATTTGTCACTGAATGAAACGTACAGCCTTGCCAATGAACAAATTGTACATTTGGTCTTCAGTGAAAATATACACGAACTGATTTGTCACTGAACGGGAAACACAGTTCCGTCAACAGCAGACCACTCTGGTTTTATTGGTAAACGGAAAACACACTGATTCCTCATTGAGTGTCAATACCACTGTTTGTCATTGAGCGAAAATAACACTTTATGTCACTGAGCGGAACACATATTGTCTCGTCACTAACTATACACAAAGAACTTAGTTAAGCACCCCTGCCTGACCAGTGACACCCGTCCAAACAAGGTCTAATAAAGTATTTAATCGTGCTTGCATTTTATATATCTTGCACTTTGTTACACTCGAGGCGCTGGGGTAGCCTAGTCACGCTCGTCGCGCAAGACCCAGGTTCGATTCCCCACATGTGTACAATGTGTGAAGCCCGTTTCTGGTGTCCCCTTCCCCCCCGTGATATTGATGGCAAAGCGGTGTAAAACCATACTCACTCACTTACTCGAATAACACAAGCACGCAGACACATTAAAATCAGGGAAACCCAGATAAATCCCACGAAACTCCACGTGAAGAATCAATTTAAGCTGTAACCGATGTGAAATAGATATATTGTTAAAATAACCCGTTGTTGAAAGTAACAACTAGACTTTCTTACGCTGGTAGTTTTTAGCTCTATCTGGGCTAGAATGAGAGATTCAGCCCCTTTATTGAGCATCAAGAGAAAGTCTTACCTGCGGACAAGTTGACCCTTGGTCGAAGATGATTATTTTACTGCCTATCATACTAACCTTCGCCTCTTGGTGGTATAGAAGACAAAACACTTGCTCTTGGTAAGATATTAGAACATCACTAAAACCTTTCAATGAACGTGTGGATACATGCCACTAACCCCCGCCATTCCATATCTGTGGCCGCTGATTGGGTATAAGGTGGAACAAAAACGGACGCAAATCAACTACCGTAGCTTACACAATAAATGCCATACATGACATCACTGACCAGTAAGCCTGAAGCTGACATAGCTTTCACTCCTACATGTGACATGCTGTTACAGCAATTACCGGCGTATAGTCAACTTGTGTCATGTTGAGTGCCTCAGTGAAGATCAGCACACAACATCAGGTATTCAGATACAGTCTCTGAAACTAGGTCAGTGTCAACACAATATGTACACGCTGCCAAACGCATTGGTGACGTGGAACGCCGACAATCACAGGAAAACTAACGTATATGTGATAATGTTAATCACGAGAACAACTGGTGTGATCCAAGTATTCAAGAAGAGATAATGCAGAGGGGCGCGATAATTTGGCCACGTCATCATACGTGTAAATATTTACATACAATACAAGCAACAAAACAGCATAATGGTACTGGCAGTCACTGAATTAAAGTGTCTGATTCACTGAAGCTGATGAAAGATAGCCTCTATCTGCGTGTGGAACACAGATCCAAAGCAGTCTATCCATTGTCCAAAACCTGCTCACGAATAAGCACAACCGCCTCGCCAGACTGTTATGTACTATGCAGGCTGATCATGCTGCATATATGATGACGTGCGACACAATGTGTTAACAGGATAGATAAAGGCACTCCATGGAGATTTGCATCATTACACAAGCTGATATTCAGGTTCTCAAAAGCACAATGTTTAGCCATTGTCTCTGCCAAGGAGGAGCATCAAGTGGGGTATAAATATCACAATCTGGACAATATCCCGTATGAGAAGACGCCGCTGAGGATCAACGTCCAATGGTGCCAAGCCGCCATCGACGACGAGCTGATTGCTTCTGGGTCACGTGCTGGAAAATATCAATGGATGGTATGAAACGTTTCAGGCAGAAAACACAACATATACAGATTGAAATATAACATGAAAACACTTTTATCAATCTGTGGAAATTGTAATATATAGTAGCACATGCATTATGTCAGTCAGGGTTCCTCTTATTGACATTTAACAACAAAGCTGAAAGCCATTGTGATACAGAACATGGGTGTCGTTTTCCAAAGCGATCTTAGCGCTAAGGTGACCGTAACTCGCATAACTTAGCATTGACTTATGCTAAGGTTGTTTTTTCAAAGGCACCGTGGAACTGATTATTAAGATTGCATAGATGTACATGAAGATGAAACTAGACACGTGAAATTGTATACAGTTGCACACGCCCAGTACTTTTATCCATACAAACTCACCATAGTGTACTAGATTACAAACAATTACATAAATTCAAAGAAGTATCGGGTTATGGGCAGAACAAGAGGAATAAGTATTTTTGAGATGGCAATTTGTTGTCAAATGAGAAATAAATAGAAACATATAATAAGAAAAGTATTAAATTTAACATCTCACAATATAAATAAATCAGAGGGTAAATCATGTATAAAGGAATCGTCTTTTAGAAAGATAAATGAATGAAATATTGCCTCGTGTCTGCAACGTAAAGTATATTCTGGATTGCCTACAAGAGGCGAGCCTGACCACCTGATCCCGTTAGTCGCCTTTTACGACAAGCACGGGTTACATAAGATCGATTCTAACCCGGACCTTCACGGGACTTATTACATTGAAAGACACATGTTTCAAGGTATGACAGTGAGCAGTTGTCCATAACAAACAGGGTTCCTGACATATGCAAATAAGGCACAACACAAGAGTGGTATATCATGAATATATGAGTGCGTTGGGCGTAAATGTGCTTTCCTTAAACACTATAAAACTTTGGAATTAACATGCATCATCAATAAAAGAATAGCATTATAGTATTAGCTCAATATATGAAGTATGAAAGTCCAGTGAATGTGGACTCATCTGAAAGCATTAAACCAGACCAGGGATGCCCGAGGTTCTCTGTTCTAAACACTATTGGCGTCTGACTGGATCTTGTGGAGTTAACGGTCGTACAAAAATTGGTTGCCGAGCTTGCAGACGATTTCTGTTCGTCTGGTCAGGAACCTAAACTCCCTTGATCTGGTGCTAGGTTCAATCCCATAGTCTGTCTTGACTTGATGTCTTAAAACCTGTTTATGATCAACTTATCCTTGACTATTATTTTCTGCCTAGGGCGCACTAGCCGAGCAGTGACATTTGGTAACCCTAAGGCGCCGTTTTCGTGGTTGACGATCTCCAGTCAGACGCTTTGAAGCGAGATTATTGATCTAACATGTTACTGCGCACAGTGAAAATCAACAACACTAAAAGCTCAAACTGTTTAACGACCATTCACTTTTGTGTCAAAAGCAAAAAATATTCCCAACGTGAATGTCCGTGTAGGGATGTATTGCTTGATTCTGATGGTTGATACACACTATTTTGCTCATACGTTTTACTCAGTGTCAAATAAAACACCAGCCATCTACTGATCCTGTAGGTGGGTCTGGTGTATTGGGGTTTTCAATGAACAAACTGATGGCTATATCAATGCTACATTCCTGGTTTGACTGAAAACGATAAGTGTCCATTCCATGTCATCCATCATGGACTTGTGAGTAAACTGGCAGAAAGTCGATCGCAATTTCTGATCATGTCATGCGTCAAAACATCTGATAAAACGTAAGTAATCTATGTAAGGCTCAACAACATCCTAGCAATAAAATGGCGGGCAGCAAATAGCCAAATATTGTAAAGATACATCGGAGATCGGTACCATAGGCACCGTCACATTCCGTTGACCACGTTACAGATCCATACTGTAGTACATCCACACTGCTCCACATGTGTGTGGGATTCTGTAAGTGTCCATGGGAGGGGCAGGGTGGCTGGGGGGATAAATCTGGTTGGGTATGTTTTCCTTCATTTAAGGTCTGATTCGGACTGGATGCATGTTTAGCTTCATTTTACTTTACAATATCCGTCTCAAATGTTGAGTGGTATATATTGTGAAGCTACATAGGGATCTGGGCGTTGGGGTAGCCTAATGGTTAAAGCGTTCACTCGTCACGCCGAAGACCCGGGTTCGATTCCCCACATGGGTACAATGTGTGAAGTCTATTTCTGGTGTCCCCCTCCTTGATATTGCTGCTGGAATATTGCTGGAATATTGCTAAGAGCGGCGTACAATCATACTCCCTGACATACGGATCTTACCCAATCTGATGTTCCAATGGACACCGACAGAGCTCGCCTGATTGATCAGTCCACATATACTCACATTCAGTTTGATCTGAGTACGATCATTAAAAACATACGGTATTTAAGCAGCAGCGCTGAGTGTAGGCAATCGGTCAAACAGACTGACGGACGTATACAGGGACAAGGAATGTGAGAAGTAGCATATCCTACTTGGAATGTTATAGAAGCACTGACCACAGATCGGCTCGCACTTCTTGTCAAATGTGGCCTTCAGCTGATTCGTCATTTTCTTCAGGACTTCTATTGAACCGAGGCCCATATCTCCTTGACATTGATGGAGGATCTCTTGTAAGCATGCCGGAGCTTCCTTCAGAGTTCTGGGAACGATATGAGTACAATGGAAGAATACAGCATTTAATGCATCAACATTGATTCTGAACTTTCCTTTACTGAAGAGTCAACATGCCAAAAAGTCGAGATGTAGACAACATTTGGTAACATTCGATTCTATCGGATGTGAGATCGAGAGTAGTCCTTATTAACAACTGGTTAAACGATGCTACTTCTGTTTTCGAATCCCCATGGTAACCGATGACGTAATTTTAAAGAGTGGCGATTCAGGATATTGTCTTAAATCATCATATATTTACGGAAAAAATGTAACTTTCACTTAAGGTTCAAGAAAACCATAGTTCTTCAGAAATAGAATAATGCACCTTTTAATATCGCAAGGATATCGCTCGTGGTTCACATTTTACACGGTGCACAATGGGGATGTCTGCGTGCTTCTTAGGAGTATGATACGCACACACATTGTGTTGGAAATTCAATGCAAACAGCACACAGTGATTGTTCAACTATCACTTTTGTTTAACCATAACATTTTTTTGTGCAATACCGAACCTAGCTAAATATCATCGTCTATGCGCCGAGGGTATGTTGCAATAGCCAAAACGACAAAAGAGTCTGTCGGACATTTCAATATTCATCAAATAATATTTCCACTTTGGAGACGTTATTCATAGGAGGGCAACACTCCTGCCACATCATGTCAACAAGACAACCATATTCGGTTGGTGCTTCTATGGAATCAATACCAAACTGCTACAGTAGCAACTTTGACACTTGCGGGACTGAGACCAGGGTCTAGATTTTTTCGAAGCTCTCTTTGCTCTAAGATAGTCGTAAGTGCCATACATAAACATTAACTTACGACTATCTTAGCTCTAAAAGAGCTTAGAAAATCTAGGGCCAGAACTGTAAGCAACAGGCTGGTTGGCGCAACATCATGCCAGATGTCCAGATAAACGCCCAAATTTGGTTCCTTGACTACATCAGGCGCCCCACGGTTGGTGTAGACAGCATTCTACGTTCAGAAAACTATTGCAGTGTTCACACATTCGTCCAGGTTTCATCCGGACTGTTTGACGGTTGTGCCAGGGTCCACAGGCGTCCAGGACAACGCTTCAGCAAGTACTCAACGTTACTCAGCGACACTTGCATGACGCTTGCTCAATTAGGACAATCTGTGGATGACATTTGAGCCAACAAGCGATCCTGATATTCTCGATAGTCTGGTGTCTCGAATGCAGCGCCATTGCCTGTTTTTCAATGCATTTAATGGAGATTTTGGAGATAATTGTGAAAACGTGAAGAATACTTAGAATCACAGGGTTACCTGCAATATCTGGAGAGCGCCTCTTTGTTGTTGTTATTGTTGTTTCCAAGCTGGTTGAGATGCTTGGTACACATTGTCATTCTCTCCTCGGCGTCGGCGGGGCACTCTCCTGACACAACTGTGGACAGGCCTGAAAACATGATGAATCATCGGTTAGTTCTGTCCGTGGCTGTAAGGACAGTAAAATATGTTAAATATACTGGTTGATACCATTATTCATAAATATTGCTATTTTTAGACAGTATTGTTTTACAGCACAATCAGCAATATTCCAGCCATATAATGATTGATTTAACGGGCAAATATTCATTGGTGCTGGGGACTGTCCCTTTGTATAGGTAAATCATTTCCATCAAGATGATGGCTCCAGTCACAAACACAGGCAAAGGCAAGTCAATGAGCATTTAAGTCATTTATCGCCCATTTGTCCTCCGCACGGCACTAGGGAAATAGAAACCATTCATCATGTGAAATAAATAGAAATATCAGCATGACGTCAGGTGGTTTCTAGCCATCTTTAATGGTCAATAGTAAAAGCGACAAAATACTTTGCTGAGTAATAAACAAAATCTCCAGAAGAGTTTTAGACCTTTTTTCATAAGTATGTGATTCACTATCAAACAGTAATAACAACAAGTTTTCACTAAAAGGCGCTGTCATCTGTCACAAACACACGCAAGATACATGTCAACTAATCCATAGTAATTGGAAGGGAATTTCATCGGACATTCATCGTCACTAATGCGCTAAATTTAGAAAGTATTGTCATGATGACCATTACACTATAAAAAAGCTTTGCTGAGGCTTTATGTTATGTATCCAAACATTGTCGATGTTGTTTAAACCACTTTTATCTTAAGATGCTCTATGCACCAACCGATGCATTTATTGATGGAAGCCCAAAGACAACGACTGGACAAAGTTCAATGTATTAAATGGTTTGGACTGATGTGACCTCGGTGCAGTATGTAAACCACACAGACAATGGACTGTTCTGGTCAGCTATGAGAGAAGATAGCCTCAAGCACAAGGAAGCAACTGACATGAGCCATGTGACATGTTCGACGTCAACTCTGCTGGACACTGACCTAGCTACAGCTGTTCTACCAGTACTCTCGGTGGACATGGAAGGGCAGATGACTCCAGACGTAATCACAGTCAAACAGTCAGGTGGGATCGATATAATAGTGGCGCCATTATAACAGGGTAGGGCTGGAGCACTACACAAGGAGTACCAGTGAATATTAACGTCAACGCCAGAGAATGACCAGTCTCGATTGTCCGTGCAAACAGATTCTATTGGGCGGAAATATAAAAAAAGCGTTGAAAATGAAATTAATGGTTCACTGACAATCTGTGATGACAGCAGATGTACGTGTAACGATGAACCATCCTATCTCTTAGTTAAGGTAAATCTGTATCCATTCGAAAGACATGGAAAGACTGTGCACAAATTGATGACCAAAGAAATGAGCTCAACATGATCAATTCTATGATGACTACATATCTAAAGGAATCGGCATTACGACAGTCCAGGCAGCCGTAAGGTCTTCATAAACGTTTATAGACATGTGAAGGATATTTTAAATAGTGATGCATTAAATCAAAATGAAAGTACCTTGTAAAAGGAACAATGTATTATAAGAAGATACATCCAATGTCGAGTAATTAATCAGACGCGTTCTTCTCCAACATATCTTCACAATCCTACCTCTATCATTGACCACAGCATTTCTATAATTACAAGTAAGCTCTAATGCTCATTCGTCACTGATGAGATCAAACACACTCCGTCCAGCGGGTAAGAAACGAGACAAAACAAAATCCACATGCAGGAAACACATTTCCATTATCCTCAGATATCTCTGTTAATGCACGATTCTGACAATCATTATGTTATTAATCAATATCAGACGGTGCTTTCAAGTGGATTGTCTAGTGTGTACCCCCTGTAGAGTTAATCCAGCACCCATGATGGACCAGCATCACACAGAAATAAAGCATAAATCACGTGGAAAACAACATTCCTGAAAACATCGTGTCATCATGAAATTTCGTGTTATTCAAAATAGTCTCAAGAGGTTAAAGTGATGTAGACAGCCATGCCGTCACAGTGATCTTATGCGTATATTACCGACATAAAGACATTCCTGTTCTATTTTAAAAAGACATAATAAAACGGAATATGCTACGCCTAACTGTGATTACCTAGCAAGTATCGTAGGCACGTTTGAACTGTGTTTATCAGGGATATGTATGATATTCCTTGAGTTATGCAAATTGAATATCTCTCTAAGTAATGACCATGCTGTCAATGGAAATGAAATCAACACAGCATGACCATTGTCATCATGGCCACCATCATAGAGTCATTAGCTGACTATAATCAAAGTTAGACAAAGGCTGGTTGGCCACTGAAGCATGACATTGTGGATGAGGTGCGGGATACTGCAGGCTGACCACCCATCTGTCGTAAATGCGACACGTGACAGTCTGATCAGACCCTTAGGGATAAATTGAGAATGCTTTGTGTTAGTCGAGACTTGACCCTGAAACAGCGACTAGGCAGGTTGGCTGACCATCGCCTCCGACATGCCGCCTAGTCATTGTTGTAACATCATGTAGTTATACACATTGAATCAAAAATAAAAGTGTTGTGGACCCACTGATGGTTTTCTGTATTTGAAGACACAGAGATCCCCTTAAACAGCCCGGGATACAAGTAACCATTGAGAGTTCGACACAACGTGATCGGGAACTAAGTTGAGCCGACATGGACATTTTGAAAGTAAAGTTGGAAAACAAATTATATCTTATCGGTGAGACCGAGTTTTCAATTTTTGTGCCAGCATAAAAACTATTTTGTCGCGAAATGGATAAAACAATGCTGCCAGGAACGTACTGAAGCCGTTTTTTGTGACTCACATACCGGTAGATCAGAAAAAGGGTCAGGTTTGTTGACGAGATCACGGAAACTCACAGCTGAATGTATAGCACTGAACATAGCTTTTTGAGTTGATATCTTGAATACTAAGACAAAGGTCACTATGCTACTTTCACAGGTGCATTTTGGGTAAATGGTATTTGTTTTTACATTTCGTTTTCATAAGTAAAATAAGTTCTATTTATCGTTTGTACAAAATGCCAGGTTACGATGACTTTGGATAGTATTTATATATTTTTCAACTTAACAACATTTCTCAAGAAGAAGTCGTCTTTTTATGCCGACAGCAGCAGTGTAATAATGGCGTAAGACGTTCATCAAAGCAACAAAAAAGTCATTTCTTCTCGCACTCATACGTATTTTCATGTACTTTAATGAAATGTGTTTCTGGGTTCTTTTCAACATTTTACCAAAAAAACACAGAAAAACGAGAGCTAATTGCCATTCCTTTCAGCACTTGGGAAAGATCTGAAAACAGCGTTACAAAGATGTAACGGCGGAATAAATAGTCAGATTCTTTTGCATAAAAGGATCATATTATCCCCCATACTCCGCTTCTCTCTGGCACCAGTTGTCTTGTCCGCGACTGACGGGATTGGGTGGACAGGCTCCCTGACCTGGTTTACACATGCCATCGTATCCCAGTTGCGTATATTAATGCTCATGCTGTTGATCATTGGATGGTCTGGTTCGGATTCGAGTATTTACAGATCGCTGCCATATAGCTGGAATATTGCTGAGTGCGGCGTAAAACAACAAACAAACGAACAAAACTTGGACTATAAACAAAACTTGGACTATAAACAAAACTTGGATTTTAAACAGAAGGGACCGGTGAACCCTAAGCAGACTATAATCCCGAGTGGCAAGTCTCCTCGACATTTGATTACAAGATGGACATAGATATTATTAAACCTCGTGTGTTTCCGTATCATTAATATCATATATTGGGAATACAAATTCATATTTCTTATTCCTAATATATGATATTAATGATACGGAAACACACGAGGTTAATACTCTATTTATCATATAATGTCATTCTTAAAATTACTCTAAAAAAAGAAGCAAATCGTACGTGAAGCTATATGAAGAGAATCGAGCATACTCATAACAAATACTTAGCGGTACACCAAGGTGAAGGTCGTTCATGGCGGCGGCATATGGTTGTGACTAGTCAAACATAAGTCATGCTTAAAATAAGATCTTTCTGTCTAAAAAAACAAACAAAATCGGGCAGGTTGGTACCTTTCTTAGCCGATCGCTTTTTACTCGTGCCTCATAATCCGTACCTTCAATTTGAACGAAGTACTCTGTTTCATGTTTTCAAAAGTCAATTACTTCAGTAACGACCCCAGAACCTCTGTCATCAATTCTTACAGAATCACCAATTTTGATAATGGGGGTAGCCATGTTTGTTTACAAACTCGTACACGCAATGTAAACTTTAAAACTTTTAAAGCTTCCATCATGTGGAGGACATTTCTACATTTCAACATCACTTACAAGAAAATATCCAGTCTAATATAATATTTTGACATGTAGATTTTTCAGATTAATAACTGACTTGGCTATCCGTGTGTTTGTTCTGGGTGCCACCTGTGGAGCAGGATACGATCAACTGGTATGATCAGTATGTGATAGTAATTAAAAAATACGGGCTTATTTTATATTAAAATCGTGCAATGAAGCTGCTTTAATCTGAGATTTGTTATGGTTAGAGGAGAGGGTTAAATATTTAAATGTCTTCTTCTTCTGTTGCTATTGAAACAGCTGTCCGATGGTTCTATATCAAAATCAAACTAAGACCTGCATCTCCTCGGCCTCCTTCACACACTAAGCTGATACAATGCGACATAAATGAACGTGACAAAATCCTTTATTTTGTCCAAACTGAAACACCTTTTAAAAAATCGAAATTAAGATCTTGAAAGTTAGAACGTTTTCATTCAACCACAAAATTATTAAATACATTTCGGGCAACGATGTGGAGAAAAATTACTTTATTCTTGCAAAGCGGTATTTTGAAAACGTCTCTCAGCTATCACATCGTGTGTTACTTAAGATCAGTTGTTTGAAAGATCAACATATAAAAAGAAAGAATTTCCCTTCCGCCTTTCCGATAGAATCAATCAGTTTTGAAAGTTGTCTGCCACCCAGTAGTATCCCGTTGTTTGAAGACATCA